GGCAAGGTTGAGCGTGGGCAGGGGGTCATTACCCTAAAATTTCAGCCTCCTAGACTCCGTAGTTCCTGAGGTATTGATTTACCCGTAAAAAGCTTTCACGGGGCCGTACGAGTTACCCGCGGGTAAGGGAAAGCTGGATTTAAATTTGCCGCGTCACCCGTTGGCGGGAAACACTACACCAAAATTTCAGCCGCCCAGCTTTTGTGGTTCCCCAGTTGAAAGTGTGGGACAAAATGTGAGACACACACACACACGCACACACATACACACAAGCACAGACAACCTGTGACAATATGCGTTTTGTAACGCTGTTACACAGCCCAAAACGCATAAAAAATACGGTTTAAAACAGCTAAAGCGAAATTCACAAATCATGTCCAAATACAGTCCCTCCCCACTTTTTCTTCAAAAAGTTTTGTGCCAACGAATTCATCTCCATGAAAATGGTAAATGATAATGCCGCCCATGCAATTAGATATCTTACGTTATAGCTGACCGCCACTGTAATTAATCTAGTTTAGCGAGAAAGGCGCCCATCCAGTCCGACATCACTGGCATTTCTTGAAAGCAAAAAAAAAAAAAAAACAAGTTTCTCCTGAGCATACCAATAAAATGTTTGGCCAATCCTCGAAAAAGATAAATTATTTTGACAAAAATGAAAAACATACACAGAATAAGGTAGAGGCCGGGCAAGCATAACGTCGATACAGGCATAGAGTTGATGATGCGCAAAAGCAATTAGGGCAGCCAACAAATCGGTGTAAGTTTGAACACATGCATGCACATCCGGCAATTTGTTCAAAAGTGTCGTAACCAACGTATCCGCCTAAAAACACATCATTAAATTAACACATTTCAATTTTTGACATGCAAAAATCGTAAAACCAATGCAACTACACAACACACTATTACTATCTAGGGCTCTGGCAAGGTAAAACGATAATGCAACAAAAGATTACTGAAACCCAGGCTGGAACGCACCAGGCTGGCCGGTGCGATTATGTGTTTTTGCACTTTTCGTACCGTAGCAAGATCGCAAGGAGTCAATGTAGCTAACCCTGT